CCATGGGCTCCTTCGACTCGAGCTCTGCCTCCACGTCGCTCCAGTTTTCACTGGCCCGCACCCACCGGGCGATCTCTCTCTCCTTCTTGTACCTCCTTTGGGCCATCTCAGCTCTCTTCTTTTGGCAACCGTTGCCTCTTTCAGAGCGGCTTGCCGAGCTACGCCGTCTGGCCCCCTTGGAAGATGTGGCCGGGACTTGTAACCCATGAGTCCCTACGAAATGGATGACTCGAAGTCAAAATACAGGAGAGCAAAAGAGAAAAGGACACATAATGAGAAGAGGGGAGCATACCAGATTGGACAGCTTCGTGGCGTGAAGAGGTCTAGGCTTTCCTTCAAGGGACTCTTTGTCCCTTAGTTGCAGCACCCGGTCGAGCCGACTCCAGACTTCGTCCTTCACCAACTCCTCCAGTGACGTGCGGTCGGGATCCATTGGGCCAGAGTAGGCCCACATTGGTCGCCTCCTCTCCGCCAGCGGGGCGACTTTATGGCAGAAGAAAGTGTGGAACACCCACAACCCATCGAGGCCATGCTGCACTAGCTTCTAGAGTTCTGCCTCGATGACCTTCAACATGTTCTGCTGACTGGAGGGCCCCCATGACCAGCTCTCCCGCCTTTTCGGCCTTCTTCTGGTGAACGGAGAGAACGGCACCTCCGCTGGGTTCCAGATATAGAACCACTCCCCCATGCCACCCCCAATTGGAGTCATAGGGGGAGTATGTAGGGTAGGAGCCCGACGGCCTCGGCTTCTTCTATAAGGCGAAGCCCCCAACCGACGTGGTCCTATGTGGCTTCCCCTCCGACAGGACTCGCCCGGTGAAGATCCGCCAGAATAGATCCACGTGCGGCTCCATCCCGAGGAAGGCCTCGCAGATGGTGATGAAACCGTCAACGTGCAGCACGCTAGTCGGATTGAGGTGATGCAGCTTCGGGCCCCACTCATTGAGGAGCCTGCGCAGGAACCAGTGCGCGGGATATCCTAGCCCACGCTCATGGAAGGTGAGGAAGGAGACAACCTCGTTGGCCTGAGGTCACGGAATGGCTTCCCCTAGCGCAGGAGCCCTCCAGTGCGCCACCTCCTTCAGCAGAAGCAGCCCCTTCTCGACGAAGGCGGCCAGCACCGATTCATATATGTTGGATGGCCTCTAGTTTGACATCTCGCTCTAGACTCATGAATAGATATGTGAGTTCTCCTCTCCCTCGCTTTACCCTCTTTCTCTCAGAAACCACCGTGGCGCACGAATGAGCTTGGCAAGAAGGAAGGAGGAGGAGAGGCGGCAGATGGAGAAAGGCGAAGGAATAGGATGAAAACCCTCTCCCTTCCCCATTTAAATGTGAATAGGCATGCGATGGGGCCCGTCATGACTAATGGGATGCACCCTGCCCAACGAAACATCACCCGGTTAAAGCGAGATGTGGCCTGGGTTAGGCCCACCACTACCACAACCCAGGCATAGGAAACAAGGCATAATCGCATGCAAATGACCCTCTGCCTTCCCAGGTAGGGTTTGGAAGGGCCCACCAATAGGATCTCCATCGAGGAGAGACCAACGGGCTACCTGAGTCGATCGGACGGCTCAGAGGCGACTGTCGAGAGACAGGTAAGGGGCAGTGGGATGCCCCATGCAAGCTACGCCGACTCCATCATGAATGACAGACACGGATCCCATTCGGACATATCCGATAAGAGCTCCTCAAACCCGTCACTCGAGTCATCAAGATAGCTTTATCAAACGTTCTTACTTTATTTTCTGATGCATGATAATTCATTCATCCTTTCTCATACACGCATTCACACATTCATTCATACAATCATTCATTCATCCCATACATCCAAAGTATCGCATATGCAATTAATGCATCACAACGCTTCGTGTTGCGTCACGAAGCGGTAGTTGCCTCATTCAACATGAGCAAACGACCGACCGAGGTTCGAAGGCCGGCCCACGAAGGGCTCGAGGCTACCTCACGTCAAATAGAGCTAGGGGAGAAAACATAGATGAGCCCCAGCGGCCCTCGCCCGGTATGCTCAGAAGCAGACAGGGTTATCTTGACCTTCTTGTTCGATCCTAACCTCGAGCCATGCCCATAGAATCTCCATCGAGAGAAGACCAATGGGTCACCTGAGTCGGTCTCCGGAATGACCCGAGCATCTGCCGAGAGGTGGGTTAAGGAGGAGTGGAATGCCATATAAGGGCTATGCTGACCCCGTTACGAATGATGGACCCGAATTCCGCTCAAACACGCCTGTTAGTGAGCTCACCAAGCGCGTCACTCGAGCCATCGAGGCAAGCGACGGTAGCTCAGCCCCTCTGGTTAAGAAAACCATGGACGGGGTAATGCACGGAACTAAACCAACCCCTACTGAACCCAACGGGGCTCAGGGGCTCAGGTCACCCGACGCCGACTCGAGAAATCAACCGACCGCATAGGTCGCTGGCAGGACAAACATGGGCGAATACCCCAAACGGCAGAAACACAAGAGTCTGCGACCCCAGAAAAGAGTACTAAGATACTCAGCCTCCAACTGACTCACCAGTCGGACGCAGGCTCGGGGGCTACACCCACCGGGTGCGCTCGCGCGCACCCGCTGGCAAGTTAAAAAATTCCCTAGACGATTCTACCCAAATTGCCTGGGGCTCGGGGGCTACACCCACCGAGTGCGCTCGCGCGCACCCGCTAGCAAAATGAAAAACCCCCAGACAATTCTACCCGAATCGCTCGGGGGCTCAGGGCTCATGTTGGATTTGTAAACCCGGGGTCCCTAATGGGCTCGTTTCCCAACAAAAGCTTAGCCCAGCAGACGGCATTACAAACGACGCGCAATTCCTGGGCCGGCCTAGTACCTAACGACAGGTCGGAAGAGCGATCCAGTCTCCGACCGAAAGGCCTGGCCAAGGAGAGGACGACGCTCGCTTTTGACTTCGACCTGCTTTTCGGACCGGAAGGCCTGGCCAAGGAGGGGACGATGCTCGCTTCCGACTCCGACCCGCTTCTCCGACCAGGAATACACCGAACTTCTGCTTACGGCTCTTCTCCGACCGACGCGGTCGGAGTCGACTGGGAACGACCGGTCGGGGACACCTGTTCGGTGAGGATCCAAGAAATCAGGTGGAGCAGATAAGATAAGGCGCTCAAGTCAACTGCAATACCGAGGACCATACCATGCACACCTGCAGGACAGTACTGTCAGGCCATGCTAGAAGGGTACTTTGCAACCTTCTAGACATGTTAGAACACAAACAGTGTTGTAGGCGTCGATATTTATCCTACAGTATGGTAGACGCCGACATTTGCCATACCAGAAGAACACGATGGAGCCTACCACATGTATCTGGGCGTCAACAGTATTGTGGGCACCGACAAATTGTCTTGTACCCGACGGCGTGGACAACAAGACTAGTGAATACTCTCTTTCTCTCTCTCTCTAAACTTGTAAGACCATCCCCTTCACCTATAAAAGAGAATGTGCTCTCTCCCAACAAGGGACGGTCATTCCGACTCTCTCTCTCTACTAGCTTTAGACATTCTGAGCACTTAAACAGCTTCACGGCTCTAGAACTCTAAAGCTACACAGAGCATATGTTCCAATATTTAGCGCACGTAGGAGCTCCCGTTACTCTCAGCCCTTTAGTCCAGAGTCCGACCATACCTCTAACATCCTCATCTTATTCCCACTCGTTTATAACTCCACAGCAAACTTCGAGCACCTAGGCTTAGGAATAAAGTCACCGACCGACTGAAACTGGACATAGAGCACGTTGCCTGAACCAGTATGAACCATGTGTTATTGAGTGCTAGGCCACATCTGATCACAACGTATGACAAAACTATAAATATTTACGTGTTGGTCACTTTTCGTACCGACAAGTACTTTGAAAAATTATCTAGAACAGGAAACTAACACCCACTATGGTCCTAAGTCCTACGATTCACCAACGTTTCTACATAGTCCAGACAATCAACATCGACTAATTATAATAGATAACGAGGATTCCACTAGCAAATAAACTCCAAAATGAGTCCACTAAGATTTAAAATTTCAAGTTAGGCACTATAAGATGGAGCATGATTCTAAAAAAATATTAAACCTGGATTTTTGAGCTAAAAAAATTTCTATGAATTTTCTAATATTAAACTAGGTTTTGGGATTTTTAATTGCATTACCTTTCTATGTAAAATTATTTGGATAGTTTTTGAAAATTATTGTTTATGTTTTTTATATACTTTTTGAAAATATTTTTAGTTCAATTTACTTGAACTTTCAACTTAGTTCATTTTACCTCTTGTGGCTGACGTGGCGTGTTATGTATATGATAGGGTAAATCGCACGACTATGAAAGCTAGGAGGGTGAAAAGTATTTTTTTTTTCTTATTTTTTTTACCATAAGTATATTTTTCCTATTTTTTGAGCAAGAAGTATAATTTTTCCTAACTCGTATGGTTTTTTAGAATTACATAGTATAATGTAGACGTCCACAATACATGCGTACACTCATCCTATAAACATACACGTACGTAAACTCTATTTCTATGAACACCTTAAAAAACTGAGCCGATAGACCACGAATTCGCCACGTGCGCCTCGAACTTGCACACAAGAGCTTTCTGCGCTAGTTTGGCCCTGTGTAAAGTGGGCCAGAACGTGTCTGCAAAGCCCCCAAAAGGCAGGCGGCTTATGACATGACATGCCCCACCAGGTTGCGGGGTTTGGGCTTCTCGGTCCAGCAGAGGGTAATAGCCACGCTTTTCAGCAGCCCGACCCAACCAAAGCATGGGACAGACGACGGCCGATTGCGAGACCGTAGAAGAAACGATGCCCTCTGCTCTGCTTCCCGCACCAGCGCGTGCGCGCCGCCAAGTTGGCCTATTCTCCACCACAGCAAGTTTCACCGCGTATTCCCTCCCTCGTCTCGTCTCCAAGTTTCTCGGGGGCGAAGGCGTAGGAGTCAGAGGCGGAGCAACCGCGGTCCGCGCTGCGGCACAGCGACGAGGTGGGGATGGACTACCGTGACAAGCTGGTGCTCGCGCCCATGGTCCGCGTGGTAACTCCTCTCGACCCGAGCCCCTCCCACGAATCCGTTGGCTGGATTTACTTAGCCGATTCCCCTCTAGTGCGTATGACTTTGGATTTGAGCTAGGAGTAGTTCGAAACGTCTGGATCCCTGGATTTGGGCCTCCCCTTTCTTAAGGCCGGTTGGCACTTGGTAGCGCTCCTTGGAGCAGCTTCTCAACAATAAATTTGCACAGGTTCTTGTAGGGATCACGCAACAATCACTTCTCAATTTACACTGAGACCTAAAATTCCTGCTGTTCACGGTTTGCTATTCAATCCCCACAAGAATCACTCAAAAAAAAGTCTCCAGAATCACTTCCCAACTCCCCCACTAGAATCACTCCATCAGGGGGTTAGCTATTTTTGACTTTATTCTTCTTCTGTATTTCCGTTGAAGTTTATGAATAGACAATATCACTAAATGAACATGCACCGTTTCCATTTACCAATAAACTCCCATGCTACTATTGCTAACAGCATGGTTAGTAACCGATCACAAGTTCGGAGGTTTTGATTAACAGCTCAAGTCAAGAGCATCATCACTCCCTTTAGTTTGTGACATGTTGTTCATCTCATGGTTATGAAGTTTTTGATTAATCTAGTTCTAGTTTCCTTTGCAAACTTACTATCAAATGTAGCATCTGCCTTATTTTGTTAATTATTTTTGCAGGGCACGTTGCCATTTAGGCTACTGGCTGCTGAATATGGTGCTGATATTACTTATGGAGAAGAAATTATTGATCACAAATTGTTGAAGTGTGAGCGTGTTACAAATGGTATTATAGTTCAATTGATATTTGGCATCTGATGTGGTCTATTGGTCCTACAACTATCTCCACTGCATTAGTGTTTTAGTCTATTTATCACCTGCTTTTAAGATCTAATATGTTGAGTATCATAGGACTGCAAATAGCTTTACCCCAATAATGTTGCATCTGGAGTCAATAATTGGGTATATTCATCTTAAAGGACTATTGGATAAAATTATTGTAGTTGGTTATTGGGGAACGATTCGATGAATGCTAGAATAACTTTATGAGTGCTTCATGAAGTGAAGAGAAAGCTATTTTAAATGTGAAGCTTGGGTGCCTCCATAGCACTTCCAGTATCTGTCTTATTTGTTCCATCTGTTGTTCAGATTTATTGCATTGCTCTGGGGCTGTATGATTCGACACATCCTAATCATGTTGCACATTGTTTACCAGAATCTCTTGGGACTACTGATTTTGTGGAGAAAGGGACTGACAGTGTAGTTTTCCGTACATGCCCACAAGAAAGGGGTAGGGTTGTATTCCAAATGGGCACATCAAATGCTGTGAGGGCACTTAAAGCTGCTCAGCTTGTGTAAGCTCTATTTCTGAAACCTTTTAGTATCCAAGTCCTGAAGTTGCTAACATAAATTCTGTGTTTGTGCCAATCGATAGCATTGGACTACATAGTTTTGCTTTGCATATTTCTTTAACCAAAGTATTTCGTCCTCACAGGTGCCAGGATGTTTCTGCTATAGATATCAACATGGGCTGTCCAAAGTCTTTTTCGCTTAGTGGAGGGATGGGTGCTGCATTACTCTCCAAGCCTGAGCTTATACATGATGTACATTTCTTAGTTGATTCCTTTTGCCTTTTCTACATATATCCACTGCTCTTACTCAGGCTATGCATAGTATACATATAGATTTTGACAACATTGCGGAGGAACTTGGACACAACAGTGACATGTAAAATCCGTCTTCTGAACACACCTAAAGACACTGTGGAGTTGGCACGCCGGATTGAGAAAACTGGTGTTCCTGCTCTTGCTGTCCACGGAAGGTAATGACACATAGAATTGTATTTTTAGTTATGGTGGTCTGGTAGATAATTGAAACCATTCTTGCTCTAGCTTTGGAAGCATGCAATTAGCTATCTGCATTTTTCAATGATGTCAATATCTCCACCTCTTTTCTTGAGTATGCCCGTTTATAATTGGTTTCGCTTATGTTATGCCTCTTTGAAACGCAGAAAGATTAAAGATAGACCAAGAGATCCCGCCAAGTGGGATGAGATAGCCGATGTTGTGTCAGCGCTGTCAATTCCTGTTATAGCTAATGGAGATGTCTTTGAGTATGAGGATTTTAAGAGAATTAAAGATGCTACAGGTTTTTGTTTCTATTTGCCCTGTCATTTGTTAGTTTGCTCTGATAAATTTGGGTCTTCACCTCTATCAGTTAGCAATCTTGAAACTGCTTTTTTTAATATGCATCTATTCGGACTGCCACAAAACTTCAATCGTTTCCTGAACGCTGTATGCCATTAAACAGCTGAAGTAACTATCACTTTATTTTTCATGAAGAATGCATATAAAATGGTTTCTGAATAAGTGACTCTGAGATACTTTCATCCTTGGTACATGTTGTCTAATGTGTATTGGTAGATGGACCTTCGTTTCTTGTTATTTTCAGTTGTAGTTGATATATTTGTTCCTATTACTGTTAGGTGCTGCTTCTATTATGGTTGCTAGAGGTGCCATGTGGAATGCCTCTATCTTTTGTGCCAAAGGAAAAACACCTTGGGAGGATGTCAAGAGAGAGTATGTGAGAAAGGTATTTAATTTTACTGTCGTGTTTGTTAGAGGATATCCTCTATTCATTTTGCATGGGTACAAAAACATACTGAAACTTCTATGAGTGTCTATCAAAAGTTAGGAGTTATGTGCTCTTTTTTTCCCTGTTTCAGCGTGATGGGTTGTACTACTACTTGGGCTGCAGCTGCAAGGAATGTATGCAGCTGCAGCCCAAGTAGCACAAGCGATCACAGCTTGCATTTGGCAATTGGCACTGACATCATATTGCATTATAACTATGTGGCAGAGCATATTGTGGGACAACGATGTGAAGAGCACGAAACATACCTTGAAAGAAATGATAATGCACTATTCTTGCCTTGAACTTCCTGAGGGGAAAGGTGTTATAAAGTGTGATACATCAGAAGATGTAGCGTAAGTTCAGACAACTTTAATTGTTTTCTTTTGCACATGACATGTTCACTAAGCTGTATGTTTTTGCATTATCCACTGATTGTTGTGTCCACCTATGTTACTAGTTTACTTGGAGGTTTGCAACTTGTTACTAGTTTACTCATGGACGATGTTATCCACTGATTGTTGTGTCCACCTGTGTTACTAAAATTTGTGCTATGGTAAATACCATATCACCTTACTTTCACGATAGGTCCAGGATGCTAGCTATCCGTCCATGTCATGTTTCTGATACTCCAACCCCCTCCCCCAATCCACTCACACTCTTTGAAAATAGTGGATTCATATCACCTTGGTCTGTTGATTTTTGAAATCCACATTGAAAAGCCTGTCGTTGCTGTCCACATGTCCTTATGAAAATTCAGCAGATCTTATTTTCTTAACTATACATCACTTATTCTGCAACATGTACTGTCCACATATCCTTCCTTGTCAGTTCATCTTAATGACCAATTTCTTCTAATCTTTCAGGAGACTATATGGGGAGGAGGACTACTATAATTTTGTTGTTTCAAATAGGAAATGAATACAATTTGGTGCTGTGAGCTCTCATGTGTATCAGGTATCTATTTTCAAATACAGTGAAAAAGGAAATAATATTCTGTGAAATTGATGAAAGTTATAGTGTTTCATGCCGTGCGCATGTGGTACTTGTTCCTGCAAATAACAATTATTTGCAAAATAAGTATGTTTGTTGACAAGGATTTCAAACTAAAACTGGTTCCAGGTCCTTGGCCAGGTAGCCACTCCTAATAGGGGCTTGCATGCTGGTAGTTCTGTAAATTAGCGATTAGAGTTTGTAAATGTCTGATACTGATCAAGAAGTCAAGAACTGGCTAAACTAAATGGTATTTTCCCCCGACCCAGCAAAATTGGTGAAACCTGCCTGAAACTTGAAGAACGATGTTGTTCACTTGCATGATTAAATTGCAAATCAGAGGCACCCACAATGTAAATTCAAAAGGTTTTTTCATTATAAAAGTTGCAATAATTCAGTGATTGGTAATGGAGCAGCACTCTCAACTTCATGATTGGCTGAACCTGTATGTCTGCCTAACAATCTTAGTCTGATAGTTTCTCTCTCCCTCTCTAAAAATGTACTACCAAGAACCTGTGTATCTGCCTAATCAATCTGAGTATCTCAGAAAAAAAAATATTACCAAGAGAAACATATTGTAATGTAATGGCTGAGCTCAATGTGGCAACTCCCAATATTCCCATCATTACTTGTCACGAGTTGTACTTGCAGTCTGTCTTGAAAATGCATAGCAGTTTTCAGTTCTTGGGGTCTGTTAAATTATTAATGGTCTTTTTAGTTTTTATTTGCCATCTTTCTAAGCTAACAGATTTTTTTTACTTTATTTTATTTTATTTTTGCAGCTTCTGCTTGGATTCCTATCTCACTTTTTATTAATGGATTAGGAGGAATCTGCCCTGCCACCAAGGAAAACGAGATTTGCCATTTTGGCGCTGTCTGGACTTAGGTCCACTAGTCCAGTAAGGGTTTTCAAATTGAAAAAAAAAGACACTGGAGCTGCTGATCTTTCCCTTCTACTGGTAATAGATAGGTCCATACCTGGAATTAATCAAACACCATTTTTTTTTGAAACTGATACTAATCTAGACCATGGAAATTTTGTCATGTATTGTTGGTGGAGATACTATGGTGCTTTTGGGGGAATTCAAATAGACTTTGATATGTTGACACTACTGTTATGGCCCTGTGGTCTAAGAACAAATATTAAAGTTTTCATGATATGACTTTGACTGGCATTTAGCCTGGCACTTAATATTTGCAACTCACCTCTTGCAGTATGTTAATGTCTTTATGCTTTTTCTCGACGCATTGCTAGTATCATTGTATTAAGAACAGTCCCATACAAAGCTGCTAGGGGCAAGGAGGAAGAAAAACATATAACTAGGTTAACACGCTTCACAGGAAGTAAGTGAAAAAACGACCACGACCAGGGAAGCCAAACCAATATCTATTTGTGCTTGCAGGTATCATATTATAGATCAACCTTGCAATGAATTGTGTTTTTTTTTCTGTTTATCTAGGCTTAACTAACTTTGGAGGGAAAGTGCTTTGGCGCCTCCACTCCCCTAAACAATTGTGCTCTGACACTTGTTGCTGCATGGTTGCTCATAATGTAAAATGCATGCATGGTATTTCTGCCATCTTCGATTTTTTTATATAATAAAGACGCCATCTTCGAGTTACCCAAGATGCAAAAATGTCGTGCAAATCGAAGGCACCGATGAACAGTCGAGACCTAACTTTGCTGACAAGCCAAACCTAGCCTTCATTCTCTTGGATCGAAATGGCTACAGATGAGAAAAACCGTGTCTTAACCGTCACTATGCCAGAAAATGCGGGCCAAATAATTTTTTGATACCTTTGGAAAATTGGAACGCGTACTAGTAAGTTCTTAAGTTTGCCGTCAACTTCGAGGCTTAAGCGAGTTAAAATTGGAGGATGAACTCTGCACGCTCCGTTGAGACCTCATGCAAGTTCAGTCGGTCACTCAGTCATGTGCAGTGGCTTGGGATTTGGGATATGAAACCTCAATCTCCAGGTGTGATTAGTAATTTGTAATCTGAACATCAAGCTAACCCGAGCATATATCTTTACATTCAAGTCGTCCATACTACATTCAAGCGCACTGCTCACTGCTGCCGTGCTGCGCTACACGCACCAGGTACAGAACAGGATTGAACTCCAGTTAGACACTGGGTACGATAACTATACTGACTCGACGATCAGCACTTCATCTCCCTCCGGACAGGTCAGATATGGTGCTGGTCCCCGTCGACGTCATCGGGAACGACATGATGTAGGGGTCGAAGCCCTGGTCCTGCATGAGCGACAGCATGTTGAGACCCTGGTACGTCGGCGACAGCTCCGGCAGCGGCGCGTCGCCGTCGAGGTACTGGACGATCTGACGCATGCCCGGGCGCGCGCCGGGGAAAGGGTGCGAACACAGCAAGCCTAGCCTCAGCACAAGGCTCGCCTCGCGCTCGTCGAAGTCGCCCTGCAGGCGCGGGTCCACGGTGTCCGTGACGGAGCCGGCGCGCCAGCGGTCCAGCACCCAGTCCACCAGCACCAGGCGGTTGTCGCGCGCGTCCTGCACCACGGGCTTCCGCCCGCACGCCACCTCCAGCATGAAGGCGCCGAACGCGAACACGTCCGACGCCTTGGAGGCCCTGCCCGTGTGCCCGAGCTCCGGCGCCATGTACCCCATGGTGCCCACCACGTGCGTGGTGTGCGGGTCGGTGCCGTGGTCGTACAGCCGCGCCAGCCCGAAGTCACCCAGCCGCGCGTTCATCTCCCTGTCGAGCAGCACGTTGCTGGCCTTGATGTCCCGGTGCACCACCACCTGCTCCCAGTCCTCGTGGAGGTACAGCAGGCCGGACGCGACGCCCTTGAGGATGCGGAACCTCTGCCCCCAGCTCAGCCCGATCTTGCTCTGGTCGTAGAGGTACTTGTCGAGGCTGCCGTTGGGCATGTAGTCGTAGACCAGCAGCAGCTCGCCCTTGCGCCGGCAGTAGCCGAGCAGCTGCACGAGGTTGCGGTGCCGGAGGCGGCCGATGCTGACGACCTCGGCCACGAACTCCCTCATCCCCTGCCTCGACCCGTGCGCCACCTTCTTCACCGCGACCTCCATCTTGGACGCCAGCACGCCTCGGTACACCCTGCCGAAGCCGCCGATGCCCAGCAGCCGCCTGTCGCTGAACCCGTCGGTGGCGTGGAACAGATCCTTGTAGGAGAACCTGTGCGGCCCGAACGAGGCCTCCCACTCCTCCTTGACCTCCGCGTACATGCGCCGCCTCCGCAGGAACGCGAAGACGGCGGCGGCCACCGCGAAGACGAGCACCGCGGACGCGATCGGCAGCACGATCTCCAGCGTCTTGGACCTCGGCTTCGGGAACGTGACCGGCAGGGTGGGCAGGGCGGAGACGTTCAGCGCCGGGGCGGCGCCGTTCATCTTGAAGCTCCAGCCCAGCACGTAGTGCCGGCAGAAGAGGATGCCAGTGGCCGACGAGAAGCCGACGTAGGCGGTGTCGTCGATGACCGAGGAGAGGTTGACGGTGGTGGAGAGCAGGGGCTTCTTGGGCCGGGCAGCCGCCTCCAGGGGCGCCATGGTGACATTGACCTGCGTGGTCTGGCCGTCGAAGTCCACCCACACCTGCATCGCCTTTCGGCTCACCAGGCTCATGTTCCTGAACGCGCCGGTGGCATCGTCGTAGTAGCCGGCGTTGTCGGCGTCGACGGAGTTGAGCCCGTTCACGTCGACCCCGACGTGGTTACCGCTCATGTCGTTGAACTCGGAGTTGAGGATGGTGTCGAACTCGACGGCGAACAGGTGGTTAGTGGCGTTGCCGTTGGTGGCGGAGCTGACGAGCCCCATGAACTGGCCCGGCAGCGCGGAGGTGAAGTTGCTGCTCTTGGCGACCACGAACGCCATGCCGTGGCTGCTGAGGTCCTCGTACGCGCCGATGATGCCGATGACGAAGGCCGTGGAGAAGGACTGCATCGCCGTGGCCGTGCCGTTGGGCGCGCGGCGGAACCGCAGCGGCGCCGGGTAGAAGGCGTGGCCCTTGAGCTGGCTGGTGCCGTTGGTGAGCATGAGCAGCCCGTCCGGCGTGACCGTCGCCATCCCGTCGAAGCTGAGGTTCGCGCCCTTGAAGCCGTCGAAGACGAACTGCTCGTCGGCGGCCGACGCCGCAGGCAGGAGCAGGAGCCCGCCGAGGCCGAGGAAGAGAAGCAAGGCGAGGTGCGACAGCATGGCTGCTAGTGCTGAGCCTCCCTCGAACGGTTGCGGGGTGGCGACTGTGGCGAATGATTGGGCCTCTGTGGCGTCGTCAGGGGCGGCTACCGGTGTTTAACGCGGCCGGCCGTATGCGTCTTCACCTTTTGGGTTCCTTTTTTGGCCGTGTGAAGCTGATCAGATTCGCACGTCATTAGAGAGTAACCAATCCTTCATCATCAATCCTCATCTGGCGTACGCGCGACGCCGGATGGTGAGCGGAGTAGCGTCCGTAAATCTCATCTGGAGCCGTCGCGGTCTGAATTACCCTGCGAAATCATACCACGATTGGAACAGGTGTGGGTCGGGTCGGTGTGCACGCGGGACGCCTGCGCCCCGTGTGCCTGCCCCCTGCCCTGGTGCGGATGCTCGTGCCCTTCGGCCTGTTCGCTTGCTTCGTAAACGATCGTAAATTTTTAACTGAGAATAGTGTTTTTTTCTCACACCAAATCAGTCAGCAGTAAATAATCCACGATACGGCCTCCCCTCGGTCCCCGACTCCACGCTCCCAGCCGCTGGTCCGATCCACAGGTCAAGGGGTCAGCCGCAGCGTCAACGTTTCCGGCCTCTTGTTTTCGCGTTCCCACGGATTGAAGTCGCCGATTACCTGAGCACAATTACTCGTCCTATCTGCCGCACACCTGTCGCCGCGGCAGGCCCCGCCCACAGGCCACAGGCTGCCGTAGTGGTGGCTGGCTTCCATTACCGCGTGGTCACA